AGTTCACGAGCCCTCATTCCAAAGAGCTATCAAATATACAAACTAAATCAGTGCTCAGATATGCTACACATGGCAATAAAAGCAAGACACAAATACCATAATTAATCAGTTTCACTTGCAAGTAACCTCGGCAATTAGTCATTGCTCACACAATGCAAATTAATTCTCAGTGCCTTGGGCAGAAAGTGTGAAGGAACAACACTATTACTTTCCACTCCATAAATCCCTCCATGAACACACAATAATCAAAGCTATGTTTTGAAACATAACAAAATACACATGAAATGTCTCATTTACATTCTCAAGGAGTGAACGTAATGAGAATGTTGCTAGAAAGAGTAGGTGTGGCGAACCTCTGGATCCTACAGAGGAAACGGTTATGCTTAATGAATCCCTGTCACACAGACAGAAGCACTGTACGGTGTGTATTTTTGTTTAGTCCTTGTACGAGACAACTGTGACCTACAAGAGTTCAGCCTGGTAAAAAAGAAACGAAATACAAAGTGAACTGTGGAATCATCTATGAATAACATTGCAGCTTTCAGTCTGAAGTCTCTTACACGCCTCCTCTCTCGCTTTGCCTGGTCAGGGATTTTTCTTTTTGATGTCGACATTGACAGCCAGTAGACTGTTACGATGACAGTGTCTTTTGGTTTTGTCCTTGTACAAAGTAAAACTTAGTAACAGAGAGTGGCTAAAATAGTCTAACTAACAAGAACTAAGGTTTATCCAAAGAAAAAATGTCTAAATTATAAATGATAACATTGCAGTTACTAATCAGTATAATGTGTTTACAAAACAATGGTGGTATGTCGGTGAAAAACACTCCATGGAAATGTACGGCACCATCCCTCTATAGTATGTAAATTAATGCTATATAATGCTGGATAAAAGATGCTTGTAAATAAATAACCTGCACAAAACGGATCTCTGTGCAACAAAATGGAGCAATCAATAGCCCTGTCAATGCATATTATGGGCATATTCGTGTTGTTTTAAGGTCGGCTTCAAAAGATGTGAATGCATCCTTTTCCTGATAATACTGACCTTGTTGTCACACGTGTAGCGGACACAGCTTGGCTCTCTCTGAAATGCCAAGCGAGGGGCGCACCAGGTAACGAGCACTGTTTTTATTTAAGTTCTGGATCCCACTTGTTCTCAGGAAGAACCACCATTAATGTCAAAAAAGAGAATTACAGCAGAAGCCTGTTGTGATCAACCTCACCATCAGTATTCCACTGGAGAAATGGTGATGCATGCACTTTCTTACAGCATGGACGCTCATACCTCCTGCAGAGACATGAAACAACAAGTGGGACACCAACACTTCGGAAACAACAACTTCAAAGGCACAGTGACTCTCATTGAGGTGTCAACAGTCCTGTTTTTCTTCTTTCTATGGATACTCTCCCCAACCCTTACCAACACTTCTGTTCCCCAACTGTGACCCCAGTGAGCAGGAGGGGGTCGCTGATAAGCAGACAGTCATGAAACTTAGCCTGCATACTAGTGGGGGTCTAGAAAGGTCTCACACGTTTACATTTATACATATACGGGCTAGATCACTGTTTTTCCGATCTCTGTTTGGTATGTTGATAACTATACTGATCTCAATAAGAAGTCTTTGTATCACCGATCCAAAAATCACATCTGTAGGTGGTATGAGGGCCGAGATAACTTTTTACTAGAATGCTTCTGTCATGGGACCCACAGCGACATCTAGCGACAGTAAATGGTCCGGTGAGGTCGGGACTACATCACCGTTAACACTCATGTTCGCGCTGACTCATGTTAACCCCCCCGGACCGTAGAGAATGCAAGTAGGAAAATGATTTTGTTCGCTTGCTTCTTTTCTTTGTTTGCATTTTTTTTTCATCTTTTTAGATCTTTTCATTTTTGTAGTTCTTCGTTTTAGCTGTTGACTTTGTTTTGTTAAGATAGTGCTCACCTTCATTTAAAGTTCTAATTTAGACCCTTGATTCTGTCGAACCAAACCGACAAGAATCAGTAGAAATAAAGTTTTTGTAACAGATCAATTACACCGCGCCTTCGCTCTCAGTTTTCCAAAACCTTTTTTTTTGTGTTTTTCGGCTAATACCGGCGGAAAACACAACGAGAGCCACCGTTAATAGTAAAGTCATTTTTTATCAACCCAGAGGAGCGTGCACACCACACGCAGGATGCCGGCTGCCCACCGACAGAACCGCCCCTGTATGCTGACGTTGGAAGCCGCTGATGGCCTCCAACACTGCACCACTAAGAGCTCCATGACAGAACTCGTTGCCATGGCAACTTCACGACGCTTCGGGAGGAAACAGCCTGAGTCCGTCGTGAAAAGGTGCCGGTTCACCAACAGCTGTTCCAGCCAAAGGAGACTCCGTTCCCATCAGTGCTGCACAAAGTAGGCAAAGCCAACCTTCCTACCTGCTCCTGATCGGGTTGATGTTGTAACCATTTAACAGCTGATAAGCGTATTGATCATAAACCAAATTATTAATCACTACCGTTCCATTGTTTATTAACCATCCTGCTCTCACCATTATCCTCATCATTTGACTGGGTAATCTGACAACACATCTATTACACACACTCTGATTTCATTGTTTATAGCTCACGTGTATTATAATAGTGGAATAGTTAATAAACCTTTCTTATTTAGACCAATTCATGGTTTTGTGTCTTTCTTTGTGTGGGAACTGAGGGCAATTTAATCAGAGCTTCCCTCTTTCAGATAACAGACTGATAAACGTGATTTCAAATAAAGTCTCTTTGAGATTTCCTTTAAAATAATTCCTCAGTGAACTGAGGTGGTGCCCCTAAATCAACGAGTACAACTGAACTACAAAGTGTAGCTCCACCACACGCCACACATGTGTCTTTTAAAAGCTCCTCCTGTTCACAAACCCTTCAACAGACTCAAAACCGGAGAGATTCCTGCTGAGTAGCAACCTTTAAAGTGCAACAAAAAGTCAGAACATTCATTCATGTATTGCATATCTTCCAGTTTGCATTTTCCAACAACGTGCTGCAGCTTATTACTGAACTGATTTGTGGGCAAATGTACCAACACACAACAATATGATAGTGACAAAAGAAAAAGATGTTAGCAACATGTTTTGATGACTGTGGTAATTTGTTTGTGTTTAAATGAACGATTATATCATAAAATGAATTGTTTTCAAATGGGCAGTGTGCTAATGAAGTGTGCTGACACCATTATGGAAGCTGCATTACTGCTATGTCATATAAACTGGTAATAATAGAAAAACTCAAAATTTATGTTTATCGATATAAAAATATTATGAAAGATTAGTTTTAATTGGGCTCTTGCATTCCCTCCCTACTCGCCCACTAGAACTGTGCTGGTGTCTATCAAACAGTTCATTTGTGAGGCCACCAGATGAATTATTGATGCACTATTAGGATCACTCTGCTTTGAAAAACACAGCCATCTCAGCAGATAAATATGCAACGAAAGAAATCATTACACAGTCCAGCCAAGCTTGACTGCTATGAAGTTCAGCAAAGTGCAACAGCAGTCAAGCCCATGTGTCTATAAAATCCCCTGGATCAATTGAAGAAATCAGAGACAAATCCCAATTGGAATAGCACGGCTGTTCTGCAAAAAGTAAGTCACTAGGCGAAATTGATTACTTGACATTCCTACTTAACCCCACACGTCAAGCCAAGCCTTATGGATTATCATAACACTTATGGACAATCACTCACACAAATAGTGTTCTGGCCAGCCTGAGAATCAGTAATAGTTATGTCCAGCACAGCAGATACCACAGCTGTGGTGGACAACAGTGTGATTTAATCACAAACTACCAGCTTAGGCCACAATATCAGCCTGCTTCCAGCCTCTCCAGACCACAGAGTACATACAGAGGTGTTTGAACAATTAACTTCCTATCTCTCACAGAACTGTTGCATAAGCCTCCCCTGGTTTAACTCGCCTACTCACAGAATCCATATTGCCTCTGAGACTGTCAAAATGTGAATAGTTGGCTTGGGTGCCAGAATTATCAACATTTAGTGTTTTTAAAGTGAAAACTGTTGAATAGCAACTATATATTTATCCGACAGTGTATTGTAATGAAGTCAGTGTCAATCATCCTGTAATGGAAAAGGAATGCGGAACGATGATCTGACAGCAGACCTTGATTACCTCTAATTCAGGCCAGAAAAGCTCTCAAAAGGAACTATAAACAGGCATTTACAACATTATGGAAGGAATGTTTAAAATACAAACTCACCAGATGGAAGGTTGTATAAACGAGGTCACTGCTGTCATTAGTACTGTTGTTGCAACATTACAGCAACCAATGACTGTAATGGAAGCACTGAAAGCACCGCCGCTTAGCAGCACTTCAGTCGAAGGGTGAGGAAAAAATCCATTACCATCTTTGATTTTCAGACAAGAAAAATGACAGCGTCAGTGGTTTTTAGTCCACTAACATCTGTTGAGGGTCATTTGGCAAAGTCATCTAACAGCCATAGGAATCGTGCCTCATGTTCTTGGGGAGCAGAGGACAAAACAGTGTGGCACTGTCAGCGTGGATGGACGGCCAACAAAATGTTGTACTTGGTACAAGAGAACAAAGTCTGTCCCTGGGAATGACAACTTTACAACTTTGAATTACATTTAACACGGAATAGCTCAGCATTAGCATATTGCAACACAATGATTGAGGCTGATTTTTGGTCTCAATCAATCAATCAATCAATCAATCAATCAATCACTATCACATTAAATAGACAGGAGCGTTGTAGCATCAGGTGATGCTGGCACATCATACCTCCTATTTCTCTATTTTATTCCGTAATAGTAGTCCTGACTAATGGAGTTATCTAGTTATAGATGACAGGTTTCCTGCTATCACATGGTGATAATCTATAATATGTAATGTATATGTGAGACCCACAATGATTTTTTATTTTTATTTTTATCATTTCTGTCTCGGATCAGGTTGGAGGCTCAAGTACAAGGCAAGGAAACACAGCACACAACTTTAAATACAATAATTTATGACAAATATGTACAAGATATTTACAAGAAGTCTAACAGAGGTCAACAGGAAGTGACAGGGCTGGGATGGTTACCTGGGGGGACAACTCAGGGGGTCAAAACCAGACTGGTGGGCAAATTACAAGGAAAAAGGACAAAAGCAAAACAATACACTATCAGACTGCACAGACTTAGGCGTACATAGATTTAGCAACTAACCAGGACTTGGTAACTACAAAACTAGAAAGGTGTGGGTTACGGAAATAACACGTCACTGAGCACGGCACAAGAACTACACAAGGTCCGATGAGGTTGGTGACACAAATCAGAATTATTACTCACGACACTACGAGACAACAACCAGAACGGGGGGCAGCTTAGTTGGCAACTGGGGAAGAAAAAGAGGCCGAGGGAATGTGGATGGAGCGTGGCGTTTGAGGTGCAGCTTTGTACGGTGTCCTCAGCAGGTGCAGGCCCGATGTGGTTTCTGGCACGGAGATCCAGCAGAACCAAAGTGAAGTGGCATCCAGGAGAACGACAGGTACAACCAGTCATGTAGAGTTGGTGAAGGAGCAGGTAGGGGTTGTCAAAGACTGGACAAAGAAAGTACTCTGAGGAAACAACATGACGAACTCACAACAAGAACTAGGAGCTGGGTTGACTGAGTGTTACTCAACGGTCCGGCGTCGTGTAATGGTCTGAGCCAAGGTTTTATGGCGCAGTAGTACAGATTGAACAGGTAGACCACTCCCCGCTGTGGGTGTGCTCACTCAGGTGATTAACCAATGGCCTGCAGCGGCAACATGCCACACATACCCACTCTCACTTCCACAAGGGAAAGGAAAGGAGGGAGAAGGATGGGAAGGAGGGAAGGCTGCCAAGGAAGCAGAGCTGGATGTGGAGGGCATGACAATTTCATTATTATCAGTTGTTGTGAACAATGTGTTCATTTGCATTCGCAACTGAAAAGTTTCAGTTGGTAATCTGTGGGTACAAGTAGTAATACTAGACAGACGCTTTGGGCAGCGAGGAGGTCCTGTGGGAAAGACACAGGAAAGCATCATTCAGTAACTCCCAGCAGCATGTAGCAGCATTGTGTTAGTGTGCTTGTGTTTCTGTGTTTGCAGGTGAGCAAAAATGGTTAAAGCACGTTTAAAACATAGTGACACAGACGTAGAACGATTGTTGTGAACTATCGGTAATGCAATACATACATGTATAAATACAGTAACAGAGAAACTTATTAATGAAGTAGTCTAGTTGTGAGTAGCAAGCTCTCTGCTGTCACATGCTGTTAATATATAATGTTGATGTATATTGGTCATTGCTCTACCACCTGACCCACAGCCGTCCCACAACTTTGTTTTGATTCCATTAACTATTACAACAGTCTTGTTTAACAGATGTTTTAGGTCTTCAATCGAGGGGATCACGTCAGCTGCTGTGGCTGTAGCTGAGCTGATGTCTTTAGTCTGCTGTTCACATGGGTCTATTTGTAGCATGTTTTCAGTTAAAGTCCATTCATATGTGCTTAGAAAAACAGAAAAAAACCTACTGCATAAGCTGCAAGCGCTCGCCTCTGCTCTGACAAACTTCTCAGCATGTAGTACGTGCTGTTCCATCTGGTGGGCACGTCTTGTTGTACCCTTGTGTCTTTTGTGCCTAGCTGTGTCTATAGGTCTTTAAGACGAGAGGTGGAAAGTTGAGAGTGCTTGAAATGGCCAACCATTTTCTTCTCTGGCTCAGCGCAGCCTCGTTTACGGCGAGCTGTAATGTGTGTGCCATATAGCCCAAGCTTTCAAGCCCACATTCCTCCTTAGCCTTGGTCATATTGCGTGCATTTTTCCTGAGCACAGCATGCACTTTGTCTTTTGTTAGACTCCACTTTTCAAGCATGGCTTCGAATGCTTGACATATCATTGTCACTGTATGCGATCTTCATCTAACCACTGAGCCGTTAGACAAAGCATACTGACTGGGCTCACATTGGATGTCCATATATCTGTGGTGAAGCTTAGTCCGTTCTTGTCAATCATATTATGAATGTGTGTGGTGACCAAATTGTACAAGGCAGGAAGGGACACATCTGAGAAGAAGCGGCGACTTGCAATGTGGCTCCAAATGTGCAATTAGCTTGTGAAAACCCGGATCCTCTACGACTGAAAAAGGCAGATCATCAAGTGCTATGAATTCAGTTATTCTGCTGTTTATGGCTTTAGCCTTTTCGCTGTCTCTGGGAAATGCCTGATGAATCGGGACCACCAGGCTCCGTGTTGTTCTGGTGACAATAGCTGTTGCGGCTGCTTTATAGTCTTTTGAAATAGCTTTGCCGCAATGACGACTTCTCAGATGAGCTATAAGATTTGTTGTGTTAAAACTTGTCGTGTTCTTCCCTTCTCTCGGAATCCTTGCTAAACACGTTTTCTAAACAGTGATGCTCTTGTCATCCGATGCCACCGAGAAGAACATCCATACTGGTGAGGACATGCCAGCTCCTGTGTCTAGTCGGGTCAGTCAGGTATGCACGCTCTGCACGTGGCAGATGACGTCAGGAGTGTTTAAAGGCGCAACACTCCAACAAGCAATTTTACAAAGCCTTTTACACTATTGGTTCAATTTATCAGATAAATCAATTTATCGGACTGATAAAAAAATCATTTCGCCCCATATTGGCCGATCATTTATCGGGCCGATAATTATCGTGCATCCAGAATTCAAATTGTTTCTCATCTATCTTGTTTATTGCCAAATAAAGTTGGAAGGGAAAATCTTTCATCTGACTGTCAAAACTGTAAGCACTTGTGACCCAAAAAAGGATCTTTCAAACGGTAATAATTTGTTGGTTCCTTCCCACCGTTGCCGACCGCTTGCTCAGAGGGAGTCCAAAGGCAACTTTGAATTGTTGGGTTCTCTGTTTAAATTTTTAAGGTCTTCCTGTTACTACGCTAAGCACTGTGAGATAGCATATGTTGTGAATTGTACTATATAAATTGAATTGAATTGAATTGAATTAATCAAGTTGATTTAGTGGGCTGCAGGGTGGAACGGCGGTTAGCATCGTTGCCTCTCAGCAAGAAGGTCGCTGGTTCACATCCTGGGGGAGAACATCCGGGATCTTTCTCCATGTTCTCCCCGTGCAGCGTGGGTTCTCTCCGGGTTCTCCAGCTTCCTCCCACAGTCCAAAACCATGCTGAGGTTAATTGGTGATTCTAAATTGTCCATAGGTGTGAATGTGAGTGTGCTTGGTTGTCTGTCTCTAAGTGTAGCCCTGTGATAGACTGGTGACCTGTCCAGGGTGTCTCCTGCCTTCACCCTGAGTCAGCTGGGATAGACTCCAACCCCCCACGACCTTAGTGAGGATTAAGCGGTGTATAGATGATGGATGGATGGAAGTTGATTTTGTGCTCTGATCTCTGGGCATAAGCACACACAGAATTTACAGTTCCATTTACATTTTGTACTTTTGTCTAATCTGACCTTTGACATGAGGATTATTACTGCTCCATGTGCTCTAACATCCAGAAGTTACAGCAAAGATACAGGAAGTACAGGGCATGCCTGACCTTAAATGTGATTGTTAGCTTCAAAAAGTAAAGTGAAAGGTGTCTGGCTGGGACCTCAGAAATCCACCCCTCTGCTCAGTAAACCATAAATTTCAACCAAAACTCTACTCATTTGCCTCATTGTGTGAAGATCCACTAGGCTATATATGCCTCCATGCATATTTCAGCTGTCTACACTGGTGCTGTAGTCCTGACAGTAACTCAGCTTCACCTGCCACTTTCAGTCCCAGACCAGACACGGGCAGATATTTCATGCAGCTGCACCGAAAACCGAAAAATAAAGTAGCCCCAATACTTCTTATGATTTATGCAAACGGGCCTCCCAGAGAATAAATTGCAGTGTGTCAAATTAGTTTCCTGTATGCCAGAAAAGAGCAACAAGCCTTCTATTCCAGCACTTGTTCGGCGGTATTGCTAGGGAGAAGAAAAAAAAACCCAAAACAATTGTTGCAATATTTCAGCATTCTTGTAACTGCGCTGAAATCTAGCTGGAGAAAGAGGGGATGATTTTCAACAGACTAGTTTTGTTGGCAGCAGTGAGAAAGTGAGTGAAAGATGAATATGCCTGGGGCTCCAACTCCAGGGACCTCAGGGAAGAGAGTGGCATATTTAATGCCAACATTTTCATGCATTTTTATTCACCACCAGCATCTCTTGTACTGCATACAAAAGCGCCCCCCTAGTCTTATTAATCCACATGTAAATTTAGTGTCAGTTCTCTTTCATAGGGACTGCACAGGGATTTGCTATGACTCCAAGAAGAGAATGGCAGATGTGAGGGTAAGGAACTGTAAAAATATGTCTGCGTGTGCTTTTGGGCTTAAAAAAAAAAAAAGAAAGAAATCCCACAATGTGGAGGTGGATTGCATTGTCTAAGTTGTACAGTTTAGGATGTGCGATGCACCTTAGATAGAAGGTGGGAATAGAGGGATGGGGTGGTATTTAGGGGAGAGCTGTGTTAGTGCTGCAGAGCGGAGCACGGGGAAAGCTTGTTGCCTGCTAATGAAACCCTGAGTTGACGAATGCTGTGTCCATGTGCTTGAATGTTTTCCAGTCACAGTTAATCTTTTTCATGGTAAATGACGATTCCACCCGAGAGAGATGGATGAATGGCCTGACTTTTTATGACATTTATTTGTGTTTGCTGTTTGGCATGATAATCACCGCAAGCCATCTGATAGGCAAGCAATCAAATCAGACCCCACTAACAGCGAGGTCACGCAAGGAGGGATTTCGTCTCATTGTTCTAATCGTGTTCTGCTCAAAGCTTTAGCTTCGTGTCTAATTAGCTGGTAAATAATATGATTGCGAGTGCTGATCTAAGGTTGCAGACAGCTCGACGATGTTCAAGTTTTAGCGAGCATGAGCAAGATATTAGTTGACACAGCTGGCTTTGTTCATGTAAGCGCAGCAGATTACAGGAGAAGCGGCGTGAGGGA